AGGCCGACTGGGCCGGGGGTCGCGGCCGCCAGGAGCAGCAGCGCAGGGGTGCCCCGTGCTTGCTGTGTTTGGGTCTCCGGAGAAACCAGACCGCGTTTCTCTTCGCGGGGTATGAAGAACTGAAACGCTTGCGAGTTTTAAGTAGTCTGTGATGGCACGGAGATCCCGGACGCTTCTTTAGCGAGAGAAGGATACAGAGAGATACGAGCTTGCATTACAAAAGGTGAAAAGTCTCTTTTGTGACCTGAAATTAATAATCTCTTGGCAGTGACAGGTCTCAGGAGATTTACTCATTGCTGTCCTCTTTAAATAGCTGTCATTCTTTGTTTAAAATTTGAAAGAACTTTTTAAGACCTGCTTTACTTTAAAACCATCACTTCTGGCTGTACATGTCAACACTTAAAACAGTCCTGATAAAATGTCTGGGAATCCTGTGACAACGAACTTCAAAGCCCCTGTATTTGCTCTCTCGTCATGATGCAGTAATCTGAAAGCGGTTGTGTAGTAAGCAGAACTGTCGCTTTGGCTGGTTATTGCTCTGTAGTGGCACTGTTGATGCTTTGGAAGTCGGTGGGTTGCATGTTAATTATGCACAAAGGGTAAGAAAGGTGACTGGGAGGATGATGTAATAAGAAGGAAGAATTCATCATACTTTTGTTAGTTATCGTGTGGCAATAGCCTTTTTTTGGCCTGATTACAACATTCTGTGATCTATGTAAAATAGGGCTAGATTCTGTATCGGAGGTACCTGTATCGTAATGGGCACCCTTGTGTGAGTATCTTCTGGAGGGCTTTCACATAAGGACTGTCTAGTGTGCATGACTGCTCAGTTAAGGTATTTAAATTTCTTTGTTTACAGGGAAATCTGCCTTTAAACATAAGGCTGTGTGCTTTCCAGAGTTGCAGGAATTCCGAAAGCAAGTAACTGGCTTTAATGATTACAAGTAAATTGGCTTTTAACTCTTCTGTTTGATGTAATTAGTGCGTGTATAGTTCTCAGTGGCAGAATTTAAGCTAAAATTTTGCAGACCGTGAACCCAGCGTTAGGAGTTTTTGGATGTAACTGTGTTTGGAAAAGATGGTCAAAGCAGTCAAGTGTGCTGTGCTTTTCACGTGTGTTGAGGGCAGGGGAAATGGTGTGCCTTGGAGGCAGAAGCTCGTGAATACTAATTGCAGCAGAAGTATGAAGTGCGAGAGTTGCAGAGTAGCAATACATAGAGTATACATATTTAGCACTGTCTCACTTTTCCTCAGAAAGGAAAAGATGACATTATAAGTTGAATTGAAATAGGCTAAAGAGTTCCAGCATTGTGGCTAGCTAGCGAGGGGGAGTCAGTGCTTGCCTTTTGGCTGAGTTATTTTTTTCATGTCTTTTTAAATGACTGGGAAAGAAGGCATAGAACTTGTGTTCACAAAGTATTATTCTGTATTAATGTCTTAAACTTTATGGTAGCCAGTTTTATGGAGGGAGGTTGGCTTCTAGTTTGTGCATGGTATTACGGGCTCTCTGAATTAATGTTAGATGTCACAGGAAATTGCTATTTAATGGTACAAAAACTAGGTATCCACACAGACATAAAATATATTGCTATAAGTGAAGTAAAGCAGTAGCTTATGAAAGTGCTCTTACCTGTGGCAGATACCCGTCTTGACAGTACATTTACTTAGCCTGCAGGGTAACAACCCGGAGATGTATTGGAGGGGAGCGAGGGCACTGGTACGATATGCAGTTAATTAGCTGGTTTAGACTTAACAGTTATGCCTTGCGATGTTCAAGAAAATCTATTATCAGAATCCTAGTATCCTAGTCAAGTTTATTTTGCATCTGCGGATGCAGGAAAAATGCAAGTATGGGATAGAATCTGTTGGTTTCCCCTTCAGTAATGAAGGACTTAAAAGCATTAGTGGTTTGTTTGGCACAGTGGAATAGGTAGGCAGTAAATGAAAAGGGTCAGATGCATCTTGGAAAGAGAACTAATTAATGTGAGTATTCAGTGATTGATTGTAAAGTCTCGTTTCTAACAGTATCGCAGCACGTGTGCTATTACCTGACCACATTGTAACCTAAGGATCTCTATGCAAAAATGTCTACCCCACACCCTAGTTCTTGCTTGCTTAGCATTTTTTTTTCCTTTAAAGATGGCATTGGTCTGAGAAATAAATGAAGTGCAGTACTTGTATTACTGCTAAAAGTCTTTGTGAAAGAGGAGAGGAAAATATGTAAGTAAACTAGTTTGAACAAGTTTCAGATGAAAGCTACAAAGGAAGGATCTTCTGTGGTTGAGGGAATGGTGTCATTAGTTCACCTGCTTTGTCTGTGCTGTGCACCTATGAATCATTGTATTTTTGTGAAACTATAACATACCTATACTTCAATATGAAAAAATATTTTGTAGGTGCGTGACTGCATTCAGAAAACGCTGACTGAATGGAGCTCAAAGATGGGGCAAGATCTAAATCAGGTAGGAGAGGTGTTATGCATGATATCCATGTTACACGTCAAAACAGAAATAGGTAGTTAGTTACACCTTTTAAAATATAAATCTATTAACTTTCTGTAAAAGTATCTGAAGCTCCAGATATGTTAACACTTCTCAACCCACTTTTTTTTTTAATATTTAGTAAATTTGGGGAGGTTGAGAAATAACAAAGTAAAGAATCCTGTTCATGGCAAATAAGACAATTCTTAGCAAAATGAAAGTTCTGGTCTGTAAGGTCTCGAGGTAATTGTTCGGGCAATCACAAAAAAAAAATGCTGTATACCTTAGAAGTTTTCTAGCCTGCTTGTAAAAACTCAGTGGAGAATTATCTAAACTATGGAAGTCATAAACTAGGTAGCTGAAGATCATTCTGTTTGGTGGGGAACTCTGAAGCATAGCCTTAGTTGTCTCAAATATTTCTGAAGATGCAGAAGTGGCAATTTTTCCTTAAAGAGCTAAAGACTTCAAAGTAATTCTTAAACCACAGTCATGAGCATCTGACATCAAGATCTTGGGGTATTTGGCTGCTCCTCTTTCACTACTGTTTCTGAAATTCAGCAAAGCAGTAATAGGTTCCCACTAAATACATTGTTTGCTCTGTGAAATATTAGCATGCTGCATTAAAAAAAAAAATTTAAAAAATCAACCTCTCCTGACAGTTGCTTTGGGTTTTGTTACCAGTTCTTTCATAATGGTGGCATCAACTGCACATTGCTGCATTCCACGCTGGAGTGTGGTGAGGCAGTTATTGTTGAATGAGTTGTGGAAGATCTAATGATTGCTCAAGAAGAGAACATAAATAAACATTTGTCTCCGTAAGATGTAGTGATCCATTTAAAGTTAATTATTTTGTGTAAGCTAGGTTTTACTGTCAAAACATGTCACCTGCGTAATTCCAAATTCTTTTATCAATTGCATTGGTTTCCATAACTGAAAAAAAAAAATAAAATACAAGAAACCTTCTGTTTAAAAAGTTGACTATAGGGAATAACTCGAAGGCTACCTTGAGGATTTTTTGGTAGGGCAGCAAAAATTACCAAAGAGTTCTTGGTTGGGGGTGGTGTGGTGTGTACAATACAAAGATCTCATGTAGGTGAAACCTTAAAGTCATCTGATACCAGCTGATGTAAGATGTCAGCCTAGGCTTAAATGAGGACAGAGGGTGAAATCTCTGAAGCTTTCCTAATTTTTAGTTTCAAAATTATCGTTTTAAATCTCTATTTTACAGTATTTTCATGTTACGCTTCACCGAAATTACTAAATACTTTTATGCAAAAGTGTTCCCGTAATTCTGATAATTTTTTTTCGGCTGGTCACGAGGCTTTTTTTTAATGCAAAGCAATTTGAATTGGCACAGCAATCTGTTCACATCAGAAAATCAGAATAACACTACATCTTAGTCCAATAATTCTCAACAGTAATTAATATTTTTTATATTGGGGGCATATAGGATCTTTCGTATAGCTTCATTTTCCTGTCGTTCCCTCAGGATCAAGAAGCATTGGGTAACTTTCTGTCATTGCATTTTTATCCTATTTCTGGTTCTGACTGCTCTAAGGCCTTTTGTTGGTGGTTTTTTTTTAATTACTTAAAAACATCCTTCAGAAGCTTTGTCTCCTCTTGACGAGCTGTTCCTAAGTCTCATATACTTACTGCAGGAAATACTGGAGGTGCTGGAATGTACTGTAGCTCAAGCTATAGAAAAAATAAATCCTGAAGAAAGAGATGAGCTGAAAGTATCAGGTAAGAACATAGTCAAAAATCCATTGGCATAAAAAGGTTTCATATGCAATTATTAATAGGATATTCATATATGCTTTTTTCCCCACCGTGTTTTGTAATTGCAAAGTCAAATGACATCAGTGCACACTGTCATACTTTGGGTAATATAGAAGTTGGCTAAGAAAGACTTGAGTTACATACTTCAGATTTTGAAGCAGCTCAGCATTTTTTTAGTTTAACTTGCATCCCCTGAAGACATTACGAATACATAAATGTATTTTGTGTATCTTTGACTTTTCTGAAGCAAAATATTACAGATAATATTGCGGTTAAGAAATAGCATTGGAAGCACCTTTATTTGCGTAATTTTTCCAGGTTGAATATGATGAACTTGAAGGAGGCAGTCCAAACTAACAGTAGTACATTTTGAGTCTCAGTAAGTTGTGAAGAGGTCTGTTTGTACTGTCATGTTTGGGGTTTTTCTACAGGTTGTTGTGGTTACTGCTTAGTGCCTTGATGCTTAAATCCTAGTTTTACAGCTTATTAGATCATCTAACTGGATGATTTCTTGTTCTGAGACTGCACAACAACTTTGAAATTTGAGGAAAGCGTCTTTATTGGGCAATCACCTTTCAGAAGGGTTTTTTCCATTTTTTGAAGTAATTTGTGTATATTCTAAGAACCGTTTACCCAAGAACTCATAAGTAGTGTATACAGCAAAATTAAATAGCTATATATTTAATAATAGCTGGCTTGTTTAGTTAGTGATTCTAGTTTCTTTGAAAATAGCAAAACTTTTCATCGTTGGATCAAACTCTTCATCGATCAGAGATGCAGTTGACATGGGTAAGTGTGAAACTCAAATTTCTGGAAGGGTTTCTTTTTGACGTTAGTATTTAGAAATAAATTTAGAACGGCTTCCATCTAAGAGGTGGTTAGTGACTGTCACAATTATATTCTGTTTTTCTCTGAAGAAGGACTTAAGTAATCAAGTCTATTTACGTGTTCAGTTAGTAAACTTATTAAATGGCCATCACTGTAACCTTGGGTCCACAAACTCAAATCTGATTCATTGCTGCAAGCAGGAGCAAGTTTTTATTCTTTCACACAAAACTTGTTAAACAGTGAATAGCATGTGGTGTTTTAGTAACGGTGGTACAATAGTTCTTACCAGTTGTTTGTTGCCATTTGTTTTTAACATGATGAACTTCACTACTAACTGTGCAGTATTTCAGAGATTATTTAGGAGCTAAAACAATACTGCAAGCAGCTGATGAAATAGTTACGTTTTATTGAAAATGGAATACAATGGCTATACTGATACCTCAAGTTTTGTTAGCCTAATGTAGCAGTAATTGCGAGTGGCACTGCACTTAACTGCTTCAGAAGAATAGTTGGGCATAAGAGTTTACTAAAGAACAAAGGGTCAAATACCGTTCTATTCTATTGATAGCCCAGTTAATAGCCTCTTTATTGTAAGTTGTAGTACCATTTGTTAAAAATACATTCATAGTATCCTTCTCCAGAAGAAAAGAATTTTAGTGTCTTAGTTTTATTCTTTTTGCTGTGCAGAAGAGGCCTCATTACTTCCATCTTTCCTAAAGCTCAGTGATACTGCAAGACTTGCCAGTTCTCCCTGGCAATTTAAGTCTCCATATTTGCTGTGCTTCTCATCTAAATCATCACATATATCAGATAGTTCTAGTCTGTGCCCTGTACTTGGGTTATGGTTTAGGGTGAAAGTTAGGAACTTTCAAAGAAATTGAGAGTGAGGGAATGAAGAATTGTATGTCACCACTGTCTTCACGGAAAAATAGTTTTAACATTGAAAAGGAAAAAAAGCTTCATGTTTGGTGGTGGGTTTTTTGTTGTTTTGTGGGTTTTTTTTTCCTTTCAAGACCTAGAGTTGAAGCTTGGCCTTCAGCTGTATGTTTGAATCTTTGCTGAAAACATTGTGCTACTGTCCTTGACTGCTGATACACTCGGTTTCAAATGGTGAACGGGAAGCTAGTAGAGTGAAGCGGGAGGGGTGTGTTTTGCTGAATTTGAAAAGTCATGCTGCTTATGTTCATATCTCACAAAAGATTTTGCAGTCTTCTGTTCTTTTTCCTTAGCGTGTTCTGCCCTCGGAGTTGCTCAGTTAGACTCAGTCATTATTGCCCCACCTCCCATTGAAGATGGAACTAGCCTCTCCGTGGAGTATTTGCAGCCTTATTGGCAAGAACTTGAAAATCTAGTTGAAAATAAAAAGATTGTTGCCATAGGTACCTCTGACCTAGATAAGACACTGTTAGAGCAGCTGTATCTGTGGGCACAGGTGAGAACAAACTTCCTACTTGTCGCATTTCTAGGACAGAGTAACTGTTTTGTTGGCTGCCACATTGTTATAAACTTCTGTTATAAATGGGTTTATATACAAAATATTAATTAGCCCTGTTATTTTCAGCATCTTATGGATGGTCACAATGTTGTTCAACGTGGGGGAGGCTTGAAGTGTGATTGACTCTTGTTCCGTGTTCTTATGTACAGGCCAGCAAAGGCTGGAAACCACGTCTGTTCAGTAGCAGGTTCTTTGAAGTAGTTAAGGTTTAGATTTTTAATGCTCTAATATTTAGAAAGGAGTATAAACAGTGCTCTTAAACCTTCAGATTTATTCCAGTGACTGTGAAAACGGCTGTTTTCACTTTAAGCTGTGTTATGAATGGAGGGATTTCCGATTAGAAAAGTGCTGTTTGAGTGCTAAGCTTAAATGTGAAGAGGAGGACAGGCTATGAATCAAGTCCAGTGTGACTAACTGCCTCTTGTAACATATAAGTGATGGAGGGCTGAACTGCTATGTACCCATGCTCATGTAAGCTTGTGGATTTACTGTTTCCATATTAGTTCTTTGAATACTCCTCTTAAGATGTTTCGTTTGTGGTATGGGAGAGTACTGTATCTGTATAAGAGGTCCTGCTGAGAGTTCTGATCTGTGCTCTTTGCTGTTTTGTCTATACTGAGAGGAGGGTAACTGAGGGGATTAATGACCACCTGCATGGTGATCTTGGATGCAATTTGTGGTGAGCAGAGTCAGTGGATCAGAGTCTCTTAATTTGATCTGATCTAGGCACTTACCTGAAGGCATGGAAGACTGAAAATTAGATATCCTTAAAAAAACTATTTGGATTTTTTAAAATCTTTTTTCAAACTAACTCCCCTATAATGTTTTTAGTACAAGCTGCTACTGTTCAGGGAGCACAGCAGACAGGAAGCTAGAATGGGTTAGTACACATCTTGTTGTGGCAGTGCCTGTAGTTAGATGCTGTTTGTGTTTTGGGCTCTGCAGGATACTGCAGATACAGGAGCTGCCTGTTCAGCATCATGCAGAACTAGCTAGCCTTGTTCAGACCTCAAAACAATGGTCAAAGGCAAATTGTTCAGAGCAAAATTTTTGTTGCAATAGAGGGCATGGGGGCAACAACTAAATGAAGTACATTCATGTTTTTCTTATAAAAGTATTCTATTACTTTCAGGTGAAACCAAGTAGCAATCAGGTGAACCTAGCTTCCTGTTGTGTGATGCCACCTGATCTCACAGCATTTGCAAAACAGTTCGACATACAGCTGTTAACTCACAATGACCCAAAAGGTAAGGCTTTGCCAGATAAGTTAACAGAAGACTTGTAAATGCATTTATTCAGTACAAAATCAGGAACAATCTTTTTCTGAACTTCAAACTTTGTTACACTTGAATCCTGAACAAAGGATTCTAAAAGTTTCATTTCTATTAAACATCTGTATTAAGTTCTTTAGCTTCAACAAAGGGCAGAAAAGGCAGTCTTCCAGCCTTGGATGATTTCTTGAAATCATTTTAAATGAAGAAAATAAACAGAAGAACAAACTACTAGTAGAGAAATTTGTATGACATTTGTTTAAAAAATAGCTTACTTCCACAAAACATAAAATAAGATGACAGTTGTATTGCTGAAGGCCAGAGAAAGATAAATAAAAGTCCACTTGCCCAGAACTTGTCTGTGAAATAGCTTGCATAGAAATGTTGATGGTCAGTTGATTTTTGAGTAGTTTGGTAATGTTAAATATATAAAATTATTATGCTTTAAGCAGGATTCTTTTGAAGCAGTGACTTCTTAAGGTAACATTATTGCAAAAACAGTTGGTGTAAATTCTTTACTTGCTTCGTGCCGACATTGTTATTAAATGATCAGAGGACTTGGAGGCTTTTCTTTAGGGTCTAGAACTTTGAGTTACCAGCTCCCTAGAATATTCTGGAATATTATATTAGTTTCTGTCAGACATAATCTAATCTTCACTATGATGATGCCTTAAACATCTTGCTGGAATTGTAAGCGAGAAGTCTTAATACTTAGTTCATTCTTCCTTTTGACTAGCTATTCAAAGATCATACTTTTCCTTCCTTCTCCTTTCTTCCCATTCCCCCCCACAAAGGAAAGTATTTACAAGGTATGTGTTCTATAGTACCACCGTTACAACTAATGAATTTCATCAGTGCTTGAGCATGCATCAGCACTGCTCTGGCAGCATACAAGATGAATTGCCATTCAATCCAACTACGTCCATCTCCTGTGAGGTCCAAAGTGCAATCTGCAGTGTAGTAAATACTCTCTATTGAGAGTCATGAAATGAAAGAGGAGAGGATTTGGGTAGAAAACAAAGCAAGGAGTGGTTCCCTTGCACATTGTTTGCGAAGCTTAACTTTTCTGTAATGGTCATATGAGGAGTGTTGAGAATATCTTTTTGGGAACATTCCTCATCAAAGCGATGGTTCCCTTGACTGACTTTCCAGAGGAAACTAGAAGGATTTGTACTTGCCTTTCTTTTCTGCTTTGTGGCATTTAAGTCCACTTTTCTTTATGCTTTCTGGTCTTGTGGTTATAAAGAGCCTAGTTATAGGAGATGCTATAAATGTTGAGCTTCCAGTGACTGCAGAAGTGACTGAGTATGCTCAGTACTTTGCTGATTTCAGCCTTAGCTTTACTTGCCTTTGGTTTGTCTAGCTAGCTTCTCAAATTTAATTTTTGTTTTTTTCCTGCTAATGGCTCTGCTGATCAACTCCATGTGATATTGTAGAAATACCAGTTAATTACTTTCATGGGAAATGCTCAATGTTGCAAAAAAGGTGTCCCGAAGATTTCTTCTGTAATATTCAGCTGCTTTTACCCTACGTGCATTCCAGAAAAGTGGATCTGTGGAATATCTGGCACTGCTTAAGATTTTGAACTGTAGGAAAAGGCTTCTCTTACTAAGTATGGCTTTTTGCAGCTTGTTTACATTACATTATTTAAAGCACGAATATCCTTTTTTAACTTCAGAATTACTTTGTGAAGCAAGTTTCCAAGAAGTTCTTCAGGAGAGCATCCAGAACACAAAAGCACACGAGTGGATTCCTTTATGGCTTCTCCGGTATTCAGTCATTGTTAAAAGCAGAGGAATTATCAAGTCCAAAGGCTATATCATGCAAGCTAAAAGAAATGCCAGTTAAAAAAAAGAAAAATGTAAAGAAAATGTTTTAAGTGACTTAACTGTTTTAATTTCTTGGGAATGGGGGGAATATTGCTTTTTTCATAGAAACACTTTTACGGCGTTTGTAACAGAGACCAAAAGTTGTGATTATTCAGTGTGGTGTCAGCAGGAGTGTATGCAGTGTTCTAACACTATTTTGCTTTCTTAACCTATTGACCAGTTTTAAAATATTAAATATTTTGGTTTTGTTGTTTTTAACTGAAATTATCTATAGAGAAACAGTTTAAAATATTTTTATTTGTATGACCAGTTCACTGTAAAATTATCATTATATTTTATCTGCCTTTAGGTAGTATAGAGAAACATATATTTTTATTTTTTAAAAAAATTAATTTCTCTTAAGTAATAGTTACATATCTTATAGGTACGTAGATTTCAAGCATTCAAGGACTAGTTTTTATAGAAAATTGTCATCTTTTATGAAAAATTACACCAAAAAATTCAACTGGTGTATCATTACTTGGTATGTATATATAGGCAAATCAGCTGTTTAATTTGTGTGGATGGGAAAATTGGTTTATTTTTAATATAGTGTAAAAGACATGTATGATTTAGAAAAAAATGCATCTTCCAAGTTGCTTTCTGACTGTTACTTGAATTCATTCTGGCTTCTTTGTGCATCGATATGCTTTGTTTAGTGTTTTCACAGGTGTGATGGCATCTTTACTGTTTCAAAATAGAAAATGTATTATTGTGTCAATGTTTAAAATAAGAACTGAAGACAAGTAATGAAAAAAATCTGGTAATCAAATTGAATTGTGCCTGCCTTCTCAACTGTGGCTTGGGTTTTTTTTGGTACCTGTGAACTACACAATCAGAATTGGCCAAACCAGAACAGGTAGTAAATGTTGAAGCTATTCACTATAGGATTGTGTAACATGAATGACTTCTTTTGGGGTTGCCTAGGAAACTTTGCTTGGGTGCCATTCAGACATGATGCAGGCAAGGGTAAGCGGGAAGTTAAATATATTTCTGTTTTGCAGTAGCTTAGCTCACGGGCTCTTGAATTCTAGAGAGATTGCTGCAGCTAATGCAAGGCTTCTGGTTTAATGTAGTCTTCCTGTGGAAAAGGCCTTTTTGTTTCCTTGGCTTTTTAATCA